TCTTCCGCCTTCCCCCCTTTCCCCCTCCTCCTTACCTCCTACTCTTTGTCCTTCACTTCTCCTCCACTTCCTAAACCTCCTCCTCCTCCTCCGTTCTCTGGAATGCCAAGGTGCCTTTCTTACTCCCAGGTCAGCAAGGCGGAGTGGGCAGACTCTCCCCTCTGCCTCCATCCCTGCTCCGTTGCCCCCTCCCAAGCCTTGTTCCTCTAGTTTCCATCCATGCATGCCTCATGCCTTCTCTGCCTGCATGCGCGCAATGTGCTCAGCCACCTCTTCCAGCAGGGGTCTCGGGCCTTGCCAAGGATTTCAGCCTGGCTCTGGAATCCTTGTGGGCACCTTCCACCTCCAGGCCCCAGCCCCCCTCCCCAGCTCTGACCAAACCGAACCTGCTTCCTCCTGCAGCTGCTGCTGCTGTCCAGCCCACAGCCGCCATTGAACCCTCCCAGCTGAGTGTCCAGCCGGGCCAACCAGCCGAGTTTCGCTGCATCGTGACCGGAAGCCCAGAGCCCACCATAGAATGGATCGGTAAGCCTTCGTAAGACCCTCCACCTCCCCCCATTCAGGCCAGATGGTCTGGCTGACCTCGGCTTGGCAACCTCCGGAAGGCTCAGACCAGGTGGGGCAAACTTTAGGGGGGCCTCAACCCCTCGGCTGGTTTGGGCAGTGGAGAAAGCGTCCCGAAGGCAGCCGTGAAAAACCACATCCGGGTTGAGCCGTTGCACGCCAAACAAGGACGGGTCTGTGTATCCACGGGGATCGACCTGAGATCAACTTTTTACACACACACACACACACACACAGAGCAAGCGTGTCTCAACTCATCCCGGTCGTAGTGGTCTCAAATGTGCTTTTTTTTTTTTCAAGAAGCCATTGGACTTTTCTGGTTTTTTTTTTTTCTTTGAAGATGTTTCGCTTCTCATCCAAGAAGCTTCTTCAGCTCTTTTCAAGAGGCCATTTCTGGGGTTTTTTTTTTCTTTGAAGACGTTTCGCTTCTCGTGCAAATGGAGCCCTTGTGCACGGGCTCGCTCGCTACTCGTGGGGGGAGATGCATGTTTGCTCGCTCACCCGCTCCCCGTAGAATAGACTAACAGAGTTGAGCAGGAGCGTCATATTTCCAAATATTAGCCTCTTCCTAGGATCGAACTCGCAGCCTCTGGATTGTGAAGCGAGAGCTCCACTTCTAGATCGCCGGAGCTGCACGGCCCAATTCCAAACAGTTCAAGGCCCTGTAGTGGGTTCGGGGCACCCCTGCCTCAGCTGTAACTTAAATACAAATGACGCATGCAAAATACAAGGTGGGAGGGAAATAAGATTTGGGGAGCCTCGTGGTTCCCCAAAAAAGAGCGGTTGGTTTAACGAAGGATTGTGCTGTTGGTAGGGAATCCTTCTAAAGGCGGGGTGTCAAGCTCTTATTTCACTGAGGGGCATATCAGGGTTGTGTTGGACCATCGGGGGGACCAGGGTGGGCGTGGGCAGCTCGAGTCCATCGTGTTAGGGGTGCCTGTGGGGGCCCAAGCGCTCTTATCAGCGAAAATGGGCTCCCGAGCTCCGTTTTCGGCCACGACGTCCTCCTGCAACCCTCTACCACAGGGGTGGGATTGAAAATTTTTTGACTACTGGTTCTGTGAATGTGGCTTGGTGGGCGTGGCAGGGGAAGGATATACTGCAAAATCCCCCTTCCCTCCTCCACCTCACTAACCTGCTTTCCAGCTCCGTTCTCCTGGGCAGGGCAACCAAAGGAAGACCCAGCCGATCAGCTGGGACTCGACGGGAGGCGGAGAATAGAAGGGGTTGGCGGGGCCTGTCAGAGGCGATTCTTTTGCCGGTTCTCCGAATGACTCAACATTCCCACTACTGGTTCTCCAGAACCGGCTAAAGACCACCTCTGCTCTGCCGGCAAAAACGGAGCTCGGGAGGGTCGCATGGACCAGTCCTTGGCTCTTTCCAGCTCAGCTCCATGAGCCAGATCGACCGCACCCCGATCCGGCCTGCGGGCCTTGAGTTTGACACCCCCTGTTCTAAAGGATGCATCTCTGTGCGTCGCTTGCTGGCCGGTGCTGTTTTCACCTGGGTGTTCCAGGATTTGGTTTTGTGCCCGGGATGGGGCCGAACGGAGGGGCCCATCCAGCACCCTCTTCCCCATAAGCAGAAAATCCCCTCAATTCAGACAACTGGGAAGGTTTTTTTTCTCTCTGCTCCAGGAGGACCCGGGGGCGTGATTTCCCCCAAGGCTGTTATCCAGGGTGGGACCCTGCGCTTCCCTGCGGTGGAGCCTGCCGACGAGTCCCAGTACCTGTGCCGAGTGCGAAATAGTGTTGGGCAGCACATGGCCCGAGCTTTCCTGCAAGTGCAACGTAAGTTGAGGGGGTGTCTCTCCGGGCCACAAGGTGGATGCCCGATACCTACATGACAGGGAGAGGTGGCACCCAGCGACCCTTCTGTTCTCCCTTCCTGAGCATGAGATTGACGATAATGGAGCTCAGAGTGCCTCAGAGTCCACCTCATAATCCCTTGTGCGGCAGAGTCTGGGAAACTAAATGGAGCTGAGTGTTTACTGGCCGGATGCCTTTCCTGCCTCCAATGAGGAGTTTTGTTCAGCAGATATATTCTCATTGGGCCCAGAGAGAGAAATATCTGCCTCTACCTAGGATCGAACGCACAGCCTCCGGATTGTGAGGCGAGAGCTCCACCTCTAGGCCACCGCACATCTGAAGAAGAGTTAGCTAATCAAATTGGCCAAAGGCAAGAAATCTCCCCAGTGAATTGAAGTGGGGCGACCAGCTTTAGGCCATAAATGGGCGTGACGGTCTGAGAGAGGGAGCGGGGGGCTGATCTCTCCTTTGCTCTTGGGCAGGCACCAGCGTCCCCCAAGTGCAGGTGAGCCCCGAACGGACCGAGGTGCAGGAGGGCAGCACCGTCAGACTGTACTGCCGGGCTGCGGGCTCCCCAGCGGCCACCATCACCTGGGAGAAAGAGGGCGGCAGCTTGCCTCCCCAGGTAAGGCCTGGTCTCCCAGGGAGGTGGGCCCCTCCCAGACCCTTGGGGTCCAGGTGAGGTTGCCCGGGGGAAGATGCGGGCCAGGAGCAGACCCAGCCTGCGACGCCTCCTTCGGTGCTTCTGATCTTTCTGGCGGCCTCTGTCCCCTCCCTTCCTCTCTCTCTCTTCCTCTCTCTCTCTCCCTCTCTCTCTCTCCTTCTCTCTCTTGCCCTCCTCCTGGGCCAGGCGCTTCCTGTCTTTGGGTTCTTCCACTTCCAAAGTGGCAGCTGGGAAGCCGTCCGGCAGCAAATACGGGAGCTTCAGCAGGTATCCCTCTGCATGAGCCCCTCGTACTGCTCTGCTGGTCGGCCTCGTCAGCCTCCTCTGGCTTTTGGTCTCTGGTTCTCCAGCGGAGAGAAGCAAGGTCTCCCCCCCCCAAAAAAAAAACTGTTTTGCTTTTCTCCCACCCTCCCAGAGTGTGCTGGCTGCACCCCGATTTCTACGTCCCCCTCGCCTGCTGCTCTTCCACTCTTTTCTTGCTTGTGCCGGCGCTCACGGATGTTGCGGGCGGCATCTGCCCAGCTCTGGGCCCCTTAGGGACTCCTTGGCACTCCCTTCCCCCAGGAGGGTGGGAAGCCAGCTGCCCCTTGAGGGTCTCCAACGGTTTCCCTTCGTGCCTTGCAGTCCCACTCTGAGAGAACCGACTTCTCCACCCTGGTGATTCCCTCCATCACGGCCGCCGACGGAGGGGTGTACCTGTGTGTGGGCAGCAGCCCGATGGGAGTCGGCAGAGCCCGCATTGAAGTGGCAGTCATTCGGGGTAAGGCGAGACCTCTGCGTGCACCTCTGGCTGGTTTGAGCAAAACGCCAAGGGTAACATATTCGAATCTGGACTCAAACTCGCCTCCTCGCAGCGCAACTCATGTCCTTGCCTCCTTTCCCTTCGCCCTTTGTGTCTGTTTAGCGTCCGGCGTCTCACCCATTGTCAAGATCGAACCTTCATCTTCTTCGGTCACTGAAGGCCAGGCCTTGGACCTGAATTGCGTGGTGGCCGGCCACCCTACAGCATCCGTCGTGTGGTACCGGCGGGGAGGGGCCCTGCCAGCCAACCACCAGGTTCGGAGTCTCCCAGGACCTGAGGGGAGTGGGCGGCCACATCTCCCTTCTCTGCGGGGGTCTCCCTGGTTTCATTCTGGGCCATGAAAGGGGGAGGAGTTTGGAAAAGGCTTGACAGAAACAACAAAAATCCCCTCTTGGTTATGAGGAAAAAAATACACTTCATTCAGAGTGGTTGGTCTCATCTGGACCCCGGGGTGGGCTGTTGGGGGCTCTCAGGGGCTTGGGAGAGCCCCTAGCTAAGACTCTGCGGGGCTCAGAGGACCCCCAATAACCTCAGAAGGACAAGCAGTAAGGGAAAGCTCTTAATGGGCTTAACTGAACTTCTGGGCGTTCAGCCAAGAGCATTTCACACCTGGTAAAAGTGTGGCAAGCTAGATAAACAATCCAGTCAGCATTTGCACGAGAGAGCCATTGAGAAAATCAGATAATATAGCCACTAGCCTCCGAGGGGGTTAATTCCCAAATAATAAGAATCACCTAACTCACCAGAAACTCCACTAAGATGCCAAGATCCCTCTCACAGTCACTGCTATTAAGCCTGGTTTCTCCCAGTCTTTTATTTACATATTAAATGCATGAAATAATAAACAACTTTTTGGTATATATCTTTTTTTAGGCAATTAGGGCAAAGAAGCCACGTTGAATTGGCTACACCCACCCAGGTACATTTTTTTAGGTAATTAGGGCAAAGAAGCAATGTTGAGTTGGCCACAACCACCCAGCCATATGACCACCCAGCCACACCTACCCAGCCAGTCATTAGGGAAGAGAGCCCCTTGCTACAAAATTTGAAGCCCACCCCAAAATTTGAAGTCTGGCTCTAAAGATCTCTTTTTTTTCAATGAATGTATAAGATTAAATTTTCTCAGGATGGTTTTCAGAAAAGAGAGCTGCCATAGTAACAGGACGAAGAATCCCTCTCAGTTATAAGCCAGGATCCCAGTAAAGACATAAAACTGTGACGGGGGGAGCACAGATACAGATAGTCCTCAACTTATAACAGTTCTTCTAAGTTACAGCGACACTAAAAAAAGTCATTTAAGACTATTCTTTACACTTATGACCGTTGCAGCAGCATCCCCACGGCCGTGTGATTTACACTTGGATGTTGGACAACTGGTTCATATTTATGACGATTACAATGTCCCAGGGGGTCACATGAGGCTTCTGTGGCCCGCAGGTGTCATGGCAGACAGCAATGCTGCTTCCTCAGTGGTGTTATGCTAACGGTTTGGACCGGTTTGACAGAACCGGTAGTAAAAAAAAAAAAAAGCTACCGATGATCAGCTGAGAGGAGGAAAAAAATCCTGGGACAATGGGACAATCAGCTGTTTTAGGTGCACGTGCTTTAGGTGCATGCGCTTCAGGTGCACATGTGCACACATGCGTGATCACCAAACCGGTAGTGGAACAGGTAGGATCCCATTGCTATCCTTCCTCCCTAGATCTACGGGTCCCTCCTGCGAATCTTGGAAGTCTCGGCCGCTGACTCGGGGGAATACGTCTGCCGAGTCAGCAACGGAGCCGGCCCGAAGGAAGCCTCCATCAAGGTGACCATCCAAAAGAGCCACACCTCCTCCCAAGGTAAGGCCAAAGACCAAACCTGGGCGTGGGAAGGAGAGCCAGGAGTCGCCAACCGGAGCACAAGAAGGCAATGTTCGGGCCATCCTTTTTGTCTGCCTTCCTGGCGGTCTTTGCTTGGGAATGGAGCCCCCCTGGAATTCGTGAGCAAGAGGAGCTGACTCATAATTTAATAAAAGCAACTTATTATTAGAATTGCATAACCTGTTAAACATAGATATGATGAATACTAATGTATTTGTATCAAAACGTGACTAGACAGGGAATTTAAATATATATATATAATAGTGGCATATTTAGAAATGAAAAAGGGGATAAACAATGGAAAATTATAATTGAATATGAACTTGTGAATTGTTATTAGAACTATATAATCTGGTAAACACTGCCAATATGATTATTAACATATAATTGGAAGTGAAAGCAGTGAGATGACGAATCTAGAGATTGACACAAAAATAACATTTTGCAATGTTGAATAATCAAGAATGATTATTTAACCAAATATATGCAATGATATCAAATTTTAAAAGACTGTCAACAATATTAAACAAGAGGAATCTTTGTATCAAAATGTAAGACACCAGGGAACCACATTGTACATTGTACATTTTTGTTGTATCCAAAAATAAAAAAATTATCGCAAGAGAGAGAGAGAAGCTGACCCGTCTTCTGACTTTCTCAGGGCCAGTCCGGATCGACTCTTCCTCTTCTTCCATCACCGAGGGTCAGTCCTTGGACCTTGCCTGCCAGGTCACTGGCCTCTCGCAGCCCAGAGTCACTTGGTACAAGCGGGAAGGGCCCCTCCCAGCTAATCACAAGGTACTGTCAGGATTCCAGCAATCGCCCTAATTAAATTATGATTCTCCAGCCAAACTTCAAAAAACTTCAAAGGATTTATTAGAGGCGACATACTGGCCCTGCCCTGTATGCAACCAACTCTGGCATACGTCATTTACAATCACCTGTGACTCTGTTTCCCCCCCTCCCCCCGGTGTCTCATAAACCAGATTCTCCCAATTGAGCACCTTCATGGGCTGGGTGTCCTCATTCACCTTCTCCAATTAAACATATTCGCTGGCAAAAGCTCTGGTATTTTAGTTACAATCTTTTAAAGAGAAGAGTTGGAACTTACTTTTGTTTTCAAACTGCTGCACTGCTCTTCCAGATTTCCTTCCTCCCCCCACCCATTTTTTTTTTAATGGCAACTACTAAAACAGGCATAGGAATGTTTTATGAGTTGAAAGGTATGGGCACGGCGGGAGACACTTGGCTAGAGCGCGCGCCTCTTCCTCTCTTGTGGGGGTCCTCACCACCTCTCTCGACTGCCTTCTCTTTTCAGATTTCCGGTCTCCGTTTGAGGATTCTAAAAGCCACAGCAGCCGACTCGGGAGAATACGTTTGTCGGGTGACGGATGGTGACAGCAGCAGCGTTCGAGAGGCCTCCATAGTGATCACTGTGCACAGCAGCTCCAAAAGTGAGTCAGAAGCTCAGGTACCAGCTTAAGATCTGGAACCTGTGAGTTTCTTTTTTTTTTTTTAATAAATTTTATTGAATTTACAATTAAAAACATATCGACATTACATATACAAAAGGGGGAGAAAAAGAAAAAAGAAAAAAAAACGCTCGGTCTTACGAACCGAAAAAAGAAGAGAAAAAGAGATATAAAAGAAAGAAAGAAACAAAGAAACGGAAGAGAAAAGAAAATACATTTAAAAACAGACAGATATCCTTTTTGACAGTCTGCAAGATCCAATTCTCCTACCTTAATTTAAATACACACATCTTATCAATATCTATGCTTAAATTACCCATTGTTCATTAAGCAGTTTATCTCTGAAATAACCAATTATACCACGAGTTCCAATTATCATAAAATGTTACATAAAAGACTCTTTATTTTTAAGTGCTATAGTTAATTTATCCATTTCTGCACAGTCACATATTTTCTGGATGACCATTTGTTCTGTAGGTATATAGGATGATTTCCAGCACTGGGCGAATGCTAATCTGGCCGCAGTTAGGATATGAATTGTTACATATTTCATCTTTTTAGGTAAATGTTTATCAGAGATCCCTAATAGGAAGAACTCTGGTTTGTATTCTATTTGTGAGTTTCATAGGTCCAGGATGGAAGGGCCAAAGAAGGCAGGCCAAGCCTAAGGGGAACCCAGGCAGTGGTGGCATTCAAATATTTGTTACTACAGGTTCTGTGGGTGTGGCTTGGTGGGCGTGGTGTCAGGATTCCAGCAGTTACTCCAATTAAATCATGAGCCTTAAGCCACACTCCCAAAACTTTTCTTTTATTAGAAGTTAACATGCCGGCATTTGCCTGGACATAGACGACTCTGAGACACATAATTCACTGTCACCCTTGATTCCCCCCACTCCTCTGGGTGTATCCTCCAACGAAACACGTCCATAGCCAAGAGTCATCAATCATGTTCTCCAATTAGATTTTTGCACGCCAGAAGCTTCAGTCATCTAATCAGTCTTTGAAGAAAATATGAATGGAATGTACTTTCGATTCCACGCTGCTGCCTGCTCTTTGAAAAATCCATCCCTTCCTTTCAGTTGACAACTATAAAACGTGTATACAATATGTTTTATGAGTTGACACAGGGCCTGGCTCGGTGGGCATGGCAGGGGAAGGATACGCTGCAAAATCCCCATCCTCTCCCCACACCCCACTAACCCGCTTTCCAGCTCTGTTCTCCTGTACGGGGCAACCAAAGGAGACCCAGACTGGGACTCAATGGGAGATGGAGAATAGATGGGGCGGAGCCAATCAGAGGTGATATTGGCCGCTTCTCTGAGCTACTCAAAATTTCCACTATCGGTTTTCTAGAACTGGTCAGACCACCTCTGAACCCGGGTTCAGATCCAGGGGGAGTTCCGCTCTCCCCGTCAAACCAGGCCCACGGAAGCCTATAGGGGAGGGCTGGCAGGAGGGGGGAGGTCTGTGAACTGATGGTCGGCCCCTTCCTCCTGTCCTCACAGCCTCGGGAGTTACGCCTCCACTCTGGATCGAGCCTTCGTCGCTCTCCCTTGTCCCAGGACAAACCTTGGACTTGAATTGTGTCGTGGCCGGCCAAACCGGTGCCACCATCACGTGGTACAAACGAGGCGGATCCTTGCCAGCCGGCCACCAGGTAAGGGAGCCCCCTGGAGGCTGGGGGAGGGGCCAGCGCTGTCCAGAGACTACTTCTTTCTGGGGGGGAGGGGTGTTTTCCGCAGCAGCCCCCAACCTTTCAGACACCAGGGACCGGTTCCGTGGAGAGAAGCTTTTCCGGTCTTTGCTTGTTTGCATGGACCGGTTTCTGGCATGCCGCAGCCCTGTGGCCGGTCCGTGGATTGGGGGTTGGTGTCCCCTGGTTTACAGCATCCCTTCCATCGTTGTGCCAACTGTCTCTTCTTCCTCGACCCGCAGGTGTCCGGTTCCCACCTGCGCCTCACGCGGCTCTCCCCGGCTGACCTGGGGGAATACGTCTGCCGCGTCAGCCTGGATTCCCTCACCCGAGAAGCTTCCGTCCTCATCTCCCTCACCCGCTCTTCTTCCAGTAGGTCTGGGGGCTCCCGGCGAGGAGGGCTGGGCTCGCTGGGGGCTGGCGGTCTCCTCACCTGCCCTTCTGCTCTCCCCAGCCTTCGGCGTGGCTCCTCCGGTGAGCATCAAGGCCTCCTCGTCCGCCATAGCTGAAGGGCAAACGCTGGAGCTGGACTGTGTGGTTGCCCATCCGGAGCAGGCCAGGGTTACCTGGTACAGAAGGGGCGAAGCCCTGCCAGCTCACCACCAGGTACAGGCATGGCACAGCCTTAACAAGTGCAAGCGGATAACAACTTTGGAGCCCCTTGGGCAGTTTGAGCGCTAAAAGCCACTGTCTTGGAGGCACCTCCATGCCCGCAGAGTGCCCCAAATTAGCTCTTGGGCACCATGCCAGTTTCAAAGCAGTTTGATTGGCTGGAAAACGCTCTTTGGACTTGGGAATCTGGAGCTGCTGCTGAGGAAACAGCATCGGGTAGCTCTAAGTCTGGTTGCCCAGGACTGGCCTTAGTCTGGATACGAACCGAGATAGACGTTTAGTTTGAATTTAGTTTGAGTTTAGTTTGAGTTTTAGTTTTAGTTTTAGTTTTAGTTTAGTTTTAGTTTAGGGTGTTATTTTCATTTTGTTTTTTAAAAAGGGATTTAGAATCATTGTGGGGGTTTTTTCCCTCCAGTGTAAAATCTATAAATCCATACTTCATAGTCAGCAGAGCAGAGGTTAACTTAGACGCGCTGATATGGGTGCCATCCTCTTTTAGGCCTCGGGAACTCGCTTGCGTCTGGTCAAGGTCTCTCCCGCTGATTCCGGAGAGTACGTTTGCCGGGTCAGCTCCGACGCCGCCAGCCACGAAGTCTCTGTCTTGGTCACCGTCCAACAGCAGGAGGGCAGCCCTACTTTCCGTAAGGACCGCCTTCTCCCGAAGCCGCTCGCAAGGGAAGAGAACCGGGAAGGTTGAACTGGGGGGGGGCGTGGAGCAAAGGTTGTCAGCAGGAGGGAATACAGGCAGCGCTTGGCTTACAACAATTCATTCAAAGTTAACAACGGCACTGAACAAAGGGACTTTTATGACCGTTCTTCACACTTAAAGACCATTGCAGTATATCCTTGGGATTTACGTTCGGATGCTTGGCCATTGGTTCATATTTACGACGGTTGCAGTGTCCCCGGGGGTGTTAAGTGATCCTCTTTTTGCGACTTTCCGGCAAGCCAAACTAATGGGGAAGTGGGATTCCCTTAGCAACAGGGTTAGTCATTTAACCGGTCGTAAAGTCATAAAGTGGGGCAAAGCTCACTCCACACCAGTGGTCTCACTCGTAGCAACAGACCTTTTCGGGCTCAGTTGTGGTTGTTAAGTGGAGGACTAGCTGTTGCAGCATCCTGAAAGGAATCCTAAACCCTGGAACGTTTCAATCGGGGTTCTTCAAACTTGGCAAGTTGATGACGTCTGGACTTCCACTCCCAGAATTCCTCCTGTGGTCATGGCAGCTCAGGAATTCTGGGAGTGGAAGTCCACAAATCTTAAAACTTGCCAAGTTTGAAGACGCTTGCTTTAAGGGATTAAATCAGAGGTCTCCAAACTTGGCCAATTTAAGACTTTGTGGACTTCAACGCCCAGAATTCCTCTTCCAGTCATGGTAGCTCTGGGAGTTGAAGTCCACAAAGTCTTAAATTGGCCAAGTTTGAAGAACCCTTGGCTTAAAGGATCTGCTCCTCTGACTCCCAAGGTTTACGTGGGTCAACTGGGAGGAGAGAAGGCAGCAACTGAGGGGCTTCTCCGAGACTTGGCTTCTCCCTGGCTGGGGGTGGGGTGAGGAGTTACAACAGCCCTGACCTTTCTTCTCTTGTGACCATGGCAGCCGCTGGGGTGACCCCTCCTGTACGGATCGAGCATTCTTCCACCGCACTCTCCCAGGGCCACACCTTAGACCTGAAATGCATCGTGGCTGCCTCTGTGCCGCAAGCAAAAGTCACCTGGTATAAGCGAGGAGGGGCCCTTCCTGCCAGACACCAGGTATGGCGCCGCCCATCCGGGGCTCGCCAAGAGGGGCTTTTCCTCCCAGCAACACCTCCAGGTGCTGCGGGGAAGAGGCCAGCGCCTGGAAGGTGCGTCCCATCCTCGTTCACCCTCGGCTCGCTTCTTCCCCAGGCCTCTGGCTTCCTCCTGCGCATCCCACAGGCTTCACCAGCGGACTCTGGGGAATACGTCTGCCGCGTGAGCCACGGCTCGGTCATTCACGAGGCTTCGCTGGTGGTGACCATCACAGGTCAAACGGGCCCTTACTGTAAGTGCCCCTCCCTATGTTTGTTGGGCTGGAGGGCGTGATTGCCTGCTCCATGGGGGTCTCTCTCATTGAAATGGATCTGTCAAGGACCCAACCCAACAGGTCCCACTGAAACGATCCAGTCTCTTAACGCAAAACTTTATTGAGTACATCATTACAGCACAGAAGGAAAGGAAAACCAGCTCCGGCTAATTCCCGCGCAATTCAATATAATTATAGATTCCTTCCTCCCTCCAATTAGTGCAGGTCGCAATTGTCCAATTAAGTGTCACGATATTGTTATGAGAAAGTCTCTGGAAGGTCTGGCAACCACCTGCTGAAGTGACCTTGGTTCTCACAGGCTAAGGGCTTGATGGTTACAATCCACATTCCAATTCCCGCTTCCCACCCCCCATAGTTCGTTGGCAAGCTGAGAAGCAGTAAAAGTGAAAGCAGCGTGAGTGCGCTTTGAGTCTTGACAGGATCGCTCTTTTCTCCTTGCACCTGGTTCTTCCAGCTGTGGGTGTCACTGCCCCCATCAGGATCGATAGTTCTTCCGCAGTCATCTCCGAGGGGCAGACCTTGGACCTCAACTGCCTGGTAGCCGGCCAGTCCCAACCCAGGGTCATGTGGTACAAGCGTGAGGGTGCCCTCCCCGTCCACAGTCAGGTAAGGGGACGTGGCAGAGATTCCTGCCGCATTTGAGCAATGGTGGGCTTTGGGACACCCAGAGGCTGCAAAGGGAGGCTGATGGAAAGGAAGCGGGGTTGGGATTGTGGGAAAACTGGATTAGCCAGACATTGTTTTTCAGAATGTGTGTTATGCGTTTTTTTTCCGGTCATGTAATGAGGGATCTCCTGAAACACTTTGGCATAATATTTGGGGGTTTAGGAAACTTTGGCAGCTACGTGCCTCTTTGTTCCAACTTGCCATTAGAGTAAGGGGAAGAGGTATTGCTGTCAGCTTTAAAATTCAGCTGTCGCATTTCATCGAAGGGGGGATGGAGGAGTTGAAAAGTTCAAGGTTATTCTGCATGTCGTATTAAGAAATTCCAGTTGCAGTTAATTGGTTCTCATGATTTATGAAGTGTAGAAGTGGGAGGAGAGAGAGGTGGATTCTGTGTAACGCCCGAAAATAATTTCACCTTGGGAAATTGCCTTTGACATGCCAGATCTGTTTCTAAATAAATCAATTGGAGAGAAAATGTCTTGGAGAGATTGATATCACGGATACTTTCGGGGTGCCTTACAATTTCTTTAGAATGGGTTAGATGGAGAAATGAAAACTTTACGATTCCGCTAAAGACTGTGAGCAACTGAAACCTTTTTTTTTCCACCAAAAGTTTTTTATTTTTAAAATTTTATACATCTTTCACGTGAGCAATATGTTTCCAGGTTATAACACTTATACATAATCATATTTTCATTTATATTAATCTTATATAATATTAACTCATATCGTTATCCATTTCACTCATCTTTAAACAAGAACATCATAACTTACTTTACTTTATTGTCACTGCACCTCGTACAACGAAATCAAACACCATCTTCAGTGCACATCATGACCACGAAAATAAACACAAACACACATCCTTCACCCTCCACATATTGAACCAAAATCCCCCGACACCGCACCAACACTGCACTATCCAGCAGAATTCAACAGAGCTCCTGCCCTGGGATAGAAGCTGTTTTCCAGCCTATTTGTCCTTGTTTTTATTATCCTGTACCGTCTGCCAGATGGTAATAGTTAAAAAAAAAAGGGTGCCCAGGATGAGATGGATCTTTGAGAATGTTTTGAACTTTCTTAGGGCAGCGGGAGCTATAAAGCTCTTCCAAAGAGGGGAGAGGGCAACCCATGATCTTCTGGGCAATGATATTAACCCTCTGGAGTGCTGTCCTATCTGCCACTGTGCAAATAGCAAACCCTACAGAGGTGCAGTAAGTTAAGATACTCCCTGTGGTGCAGCAGTAGAAGGTCACCAGCAGTTTTCCATTCTTTTGTTGTTTCCTGAGAAGTCTCAGGTAGTCTAATCTCTGCGGGTCCCTTTTGACCAGGGCTGCAATGTGAGCCTCCCAGGTCAGGTCCTCTTTTAGGGTAACATCCAGAAAACTGGCCACTTGCTCCACTCGGTCTCCGTTGATAAGATGTCTGATCTGTTCCTTCTATAGTCCACCATAAGCTCCTTGGTCTTATTGGTGTTGAGGACCAGGTTGTTGTCTCCACACCACAAAAGCAACCGGTCCACCTCATCTCAGTAGGCAGGCTCATCCCCCCTCCCCACTGGGAGATGAGTCCCACCACTGTTGTAACCGTAACAGGTGTGGAGTTGAAGCAGATGGTTCCTATAAGTGTGAGAACAATGTGAGAGGTTGGGGGATTTGGCTGGGAAAATTGTGGTTTAATTCTACGGGAACCTCAGAGTTATGTTTTCTTCAACACTAACATGCAGTGTATTCAACAAAATAGTAAGATTTTCGGAAAGAGAATGAACCGGGAGGGGTTTTTTTTGGATTCTCGCGCTGAATCTTGACACCAAAGTTTTGGGAAATCCGAGGAGGGGTCTGTTTGTGGAAAACGGCTTCAGTTAGTAAAAGAAATCAGCTCTTGAGTGTTTGCTCTCCCCCCAACAGATTTTCGGAACCCGCCTCCGGATCTCTCAAGTTTCAGCGGCCGATTCGGGCGAGTACGTCTGTTACGTGAACGATGGCACCAGCCGACTGGAGACGTCCACCATCGTATCCATTGCCAGCAGCTCAGGCGGTCCACCCAGTAGGTGCCCGGGAAGCTTGTGGCCAGAGGGGAAAGGAGAGGGAAGGGAAATTGGGGAGCCGGGCAGCAGGGGATGCAATCCAACGATCTTCCTCATTCTCTTCAGCGCCTGGAGTGATCTCACCAATACAGATTGAATCCTCCTCCTCGTCCCTCGCCGAGGGGCAGACCATGGAGCTGAACTGCCTTGTGCCTGGCCAGACGCACCCCAAAGTCAGCTGGTTCAAGAGAGGGGGACCCCTCCCACCGAACCACCAGGTAGCGGGGGGAGAAGCTCGATCCTGTCACTCTTCCCAGCTCCTGTTCTGACCCAACCCGGTTCCCAAACACAGACAAAGGCAGCAGCCCCCACCTTTCAAGGTTTAATCGCGAATGCTGTTCCTTTACAGGTAAAAGACTGCTTTCCCACAATTATCTCCGACAAGAAAGAGCCTTGGCAAGTTGTTTGTCAAGGCTGCCAAAAACCCAGAGTTAAGAACTAATTTACAAGATTCATGAACTAAGATGTCCACCAGTTGAGCTTCAGAGCTTCTTTGCTGTCTGCAAAGAATGCTTTTCCAGACCTGGCTTTTTATCCTCCTGAGGGAAGGGCCATTACCTTGCAGCCTTACTCCCGAGTCGCCTGTGCTGCTGTAATTGTTCTTTCCTCTGAGTAATCCTTCGTGCCCGGGAACCTCCTCATCGCTGCTGCCAGCCCCCACAATCTCTGAAGGCAACAGTCCACTCCCTGGTGGTCCTGGCCCCTTATCAGAGTCATCTCTCTCCTCAGCCATCTGCACCTGCTTGGCCCCTCATCTCAGTCCTCGCTCTCCTCCTCCATCCCCACCTGCTGCCAGCTAACCACAACAGCTCCTCTCTGGGGAAGGAAGGCCCAGCAGGAGAGCCAAATGCCAATCGTGGCTCATTTACCTCTCCTTGGCAGGTCTCGGGCACTCGCCTCCGCATCCCGCAGGTCTCTTCCGCCCACTCCGGCGAGTACGGCTGCCGCGTCATCAGCCCCAACGCCATCCAGGAGGCGGTGTTGGTGGTCACCATCCAGGACAGCGAAGGCCCCTCCCACCGTAAGGCTCCTCTGCTCCCCTCTCTGCCTCTTGGCAATTCAGACCTTCTGCAGGAGGAGGCCCAGCTCATTCTTCTGTCCTCCTTTCGTGCAGCTGTGGGAGCTGCTCCAGTCCTGAGGATCGAGGCTTCCTCCTCCTCCGCCGTCGAAGGAGAGACCCTGGATCTGTCATGCGTTGCTCCAGGCCAGCCCCAGGCCACATTCACCTGGTATCGGCGAGATGGTCAACTGCCTGCGGGTCACCAGGTAGAGAGCGAGTTTGTCCACCACGGGTGGGGGAGAAAAGGCAGTTGTCAGGATTCCAGCAATCGCCCTAATTAAATCGTGATCCTCGAGCCAAACTTCAAAAAAACTTTATTAGAAGCGACATATTGGCACTGCCTTGTACGAAGCCAACTCTGGTATACGTCATTTACAGTCCCCTGTGACCCTGTTCCCACTCTCCCCCCTGGGTGTCTCATAAATCAGATCCTCCAATTGAGCACCTTCATGGGCTGGGTGTCATCAATCACATTCTCCAATTAAATATATTCCCAGGCAAAAGCTCTGGTAGTTTAGTTACAATCTGTTAAAGATAAAGAGTTGGAATGTACGTCTGTTTCCAAACTGCTGCACTGCACTTCCAGATTTCTTTCCTTCCTTCCTCCCTCCTTTTTTTATGGTAACTACTAAAACAGGCATAGGAATGTTTTATGAGTTGACAGTAGTCTCATTGACAGAAGAGGGGACTCAGCCAGGGGGAGAAATCAGGAATCTGCAGTGCTTTTCTTCTTCCACCCCTTTCCCACCCCCCCAGATCTCCAATGCCCACCTGCGACTGGTCCGACTCACCCCCGCCGACTCTGGCGAATACGTCTGCCGTGTGAGTGGAGGCCGCGTCCCGCAAGAGACGTCTTTCGTGGTCTCCGTCGTAGCCAACACCAGTCCTACTTCCCGTACGTTTTGGGATCCCGGCGGGTGATGGGGGCGAGAGTGGGCGGGCGGAGGGTGTTCGGACTCCAGGGGGGGACACACCGTCACTCTCTCCCGGCAGGTCTGCAGAGCCCCATCATCTCCATCGAACCCCACAGCGTGGTGGTGCGTGGAGGGGAAGACACCTCCTTCAGGTGCCACGTCCACAAAGGCACCCCACCTCTCAATATCACCTGGAAGCTGCCCAACAACCGGCTGTTAGGTGAGCTTCGGGGGCTGCTAATTGAGCAGCTGGGCCAGTTGGTTAGAGGGGAGTGCTGATTTTGGGGAGCGCCCGCCCCGCCGGTAATTCCTTCCATCCCCTCTGCAGATAACGTGAGGATCAGCCCTAACGGCTCTGCGATCACCATCTCCAACGCCCGTCTGGAAAACCACGGGGCCTACCGCTGTGTGGTCTCCAACCAGTTTGGCATTGCCAACAGCTTGGTCAACGTCCTGGTGCAAGGTAATGGGGCGAGGCTGAGGGTCTCTATGGGAAAATGAGGCTCTGGAGGAATGTGGGGCTCTGGAGGAACGCCGGGGCGGAAGGTCTGCCAAAGAGCCTGGGCAAACTCGGATGCCATTCTCTTCCCACCTCCCAGGGCTGCCTACCGTCTCGGTGGTGCCGAAGGGGCCCCTGCAGCTCAAAGTGGGCAAGTCCATCAGCGTGGACTGCCTGGCGGACGGAGACCCCCGGGCTGTGGTGCGCTGGACCAAACTGGGGACCTGGAAGAAGCTGGAGAACCAGAGGATGCTGCCCTTGGAGAGCCGAGCGGTGCTACAGGTGGGAGAAGGATCCGTCTAAAGGCAGGGGTGTCAAACTCAAGATCTGCGGGCCGGATGTGGTCAGATCCAGCCCGCGGGGCTGTCCTGGTCTACCCAATGCAAAGAGGAAAGATGCCAGCCATTGGGGGAGTGGCGTCAAGCTAGCCACACCCACCCAGTCGGCCACACCTACCCAGTTGGCCATGCCCAGCCAGCCTCCGATGTCAACCGAGCTTTGGAGGATTTCAACTTGAACTCCTGGAGGACTTCAACTCCCAGAATTCCCTAGCCAGCAAAGCTTTGGCGGACTTCAACTTGAAGTTGAAGTCTAGACTCCTCTAGGACTTCAACTCCCAGAATTCCCCAGCCAGCAGAGCTTTGGAGGACTTCAACTTGAAGTCCTGGAGGACTTCAACTCCCAGAATTCCCCAGCCAGCAAAGCTTTGGCAAACTTCAACTTGAAGTCCTGGAGGACTTCAACTCCCAGAATTCCCCAGCCAGCAGAGCTTTGGAGGACTTCAACTCCCAGAATTCCCCAGCCAGCAAAGCTTTGGAGGACTTCAACTTGAAGTCCTGGAGGACTTCAACTCCCAGAATTCCCCATTCCAGCAAAACTTTGCTTCAAGTTGCCAGGGTTGGAGACCCCTGTCCTAAAGGATATCTTAATTCTTCCGTTTGAGTGGGAATCGGGCTGAGGGTGTTGCGTGGCCTCTTCTCCCTCCCCAGATCTCCTCCGCAAAGCTGGGAGATGCCGGCACCTACGTGTGTGTGGCCCAGAACTCAGTGGGCACCACAGAGGCGCAGGTGGAGGTGAGCGTGGAGGCGGTACACGGCAGAAGAGGAGTCCCCGAAATCCACGTGACTCCCACCCAGACAGTGCAGGCGGGACAGACGGCTCGGCTCCATTGCTCTGCTACAGGTGTGCGCGAGGGGGCGTGTGCATGGAGGGGGCGGGGCATTTGGCTCTGACTGGACCATCTTAGGGGCTTCTGGACCAAGGCTACCTGGGTTGCTGGCCAGCCAGGCTCAGCGCTACTACCTTTGTTGGGATTGACAGGTGACCCGACTCCCACCATCCACTGGTCCAAGCTGCGGGCTCCGTTACCGTGGCAGCATCAGGTGGTGAACGACACCCTCATCATCCCCCGGGTGGCCCAGCAGGACTCGGGCCAGTACATCTGCAACGCCAGCAACTCTGCGGGGTTCACCGAAGCCTTCGTGGTGCTGGACGTGGAGAGTGAGTGTGCCAGCAGGAGGAGGGGGAGGGATGGGGCACAGGCAGGGGTGGTGCGCTGCTCCCTGGGCGGCCTTGGGTTGAGAGGAAGATGGCGAAAGAGGAAGTAATGCCAGGCACATACACACACACACCCATGGACCCCTGGCACCCACGGACCGGCCAACGCCATGAAACAGAGATCAGTGCCGTCCTAGGGAATCTCTGGGATGGCTTGCCTGCGCCAAACTCTTTCTCCCTCCTCTTTCTCTGCCCAGTACCACCCTACGCCACCAGTCTTCCCAACCGGGCAGTGGTGCACGAGGGCGATGCAGTGCAGCTGCAGTGCCTGGCCCACGGCACACCACCCCTGCGTTACCAGTGGACCAAAGTGAACGGCAGCCTGCCCGGACGGGCCACGGTGCGCGAAGGGGTCTTGCAGTTCAGTCCGGCCGGGCACCAGGATTCCGGCACCTACCGCTGTCACGTCAGCAACCGGGTGGGCTCCGCTGAGGCTTTGGCCCAGGTCTATGTGCAAGGTGAGCAGGCATCCAGGTGGAGGTTCAGCCAATGGCATGGCCAGAGGGGCTACAGGGCTCGGTCCTGCCTCATCACCCTTAACCGTCTCAAATTAGGAGATTAAAATGTTGTAGTTGTTAATTGCAAAATCGTGTTCGACCCATCGTGATCCCCATGGACAGCGTTCCTCCAGACCTTCCTGTCCTCTACCATCCTCCTGAGTCTCTTTAAGCTCACGCCGACTGCTTCAGTGACTCCATCCAGCCCTCTCCTTCTCTGCCATCCCCCTCCTCCTCCTCCTCCTCCTCCTCCTCTTCTTCTTCTTCTTCTTCTTCTTTTTCTTTTTCTTCTCCTTCTCCTTCTCCTTCTCCTTCTTCTTCTTCTTCTTTTGCCCTCTATTGTTCTCAGCATTCAGCTCTTCTTCACCAGGGAGTCCTTCCTTCTAATGAGGTGACCTTTTATGGAAAGTTTTGCAGCGATAATTCAGCACCAGAAAAATAAACACAGGTGGCTGATGCTTCGTTTAACATCTTCACAAACATAAGTAGAATTTACAAACCAGTTGTAGATTTCTCCAACATGGAGCAAACTCAAAACAGAAACATGTTGCAAGTTCGGAGCAGAGCTCCAGTCTTCAGCAAGCAAGCAATTTAGTTTCATCTTCAGTCGACAGACTCAGAGTTCAACATAGCTGCGGAGTTGCAGAGCCACGCCGAGGCTACTTCTAGTTTCAGTTTCCAAGCAGTCCTCATTGGCTGACTTAGTTGCTATGCCTATTCATTGGCTGACCTTGTTACCAACCTCTATTCCGGGTCACGAATACACTCTGACAGACCTGTCCTGACATATTGTTCTATGTCTGGATCTGCGTTTTTTTGTCATATTTGTGCCGACTTGCGTGGTCTCCTCCTCCTTGTCCCCAATGCAGCCACTGCTGGAGGACCCCTCTCCGTCCAGGTCACCCCTCTGAGCGACACCAAAGCCGTGGGTGCCACAGCAGAGTTTGTGTGCTCCGTATCCGGGGATCCCAGGGCGCAAATCGAGTGGCTGAAAGAGGGCGGAGAGCTGCCTCCCACTCACACCATCCGCAATGGAGTGCTGCGGTGAGCCGGGCAGATGAGGGCCACGGCGTGGCATGGCATGGGGGGGGGGATAGGAGGAGGAGGTGGCACTGGGCATCTGCAGACTGGGGCAACGAGTTCAGGGATTCACCGAGCGGCTGCTTCCCTCCAGGATCGAGAACCTGAACCCAGAATGTCAGGGAATCTACGTGTGTCGGGCCAGGAGTCCCTCTAGCCAGGCCCAGGGCAGGGTCAGCCTGACTGTCCGGGGTAAGTAAGCCTCTTGCCACCTGGTGCCCCACCTGTGGGAGACAGGAAGCCTCCTCTTCCCTCTCTGGAGACTTGACACGCCCCCCCCCCCCGTTTCTCTTCTCAGCCCTCCCCAAAGTGATGATCAACATCCGGACCTCGGTGCAGACCGTCCTGGCGGGCAACGCCGTGGAGTTTGAGTGCCTGGCCTTCGGGGACCCCAAGCCAGAACTCACCTGGAGCAAGGTGGGCGGACAGCTGCGCCCAGGAGTGCTGGCCAGCGGAGGCCTGGTGAAGATCGAGCAGGTGGAGCAGGCCGACGCAGGGAAGTACCGCTGCACGGCCACCAACAACGTCGGCACCGTCCAGTCCCACGTCATCCTGCATGTCCAGTGTGAGCCTAGCTTTCTCCCAGAGGGGGCGTGTCCTCCCTGCTTGGCTCTCTGTGGCTGACAGCCCCACTCCCTCTGTCTTCCCACAGCTGTCCCCCAAGTGGCCACCCAGCCAGAAGTGAAGGAGGTTTCCGCGGGCTCCACTGTGGTTTTCCCTTGCTCGGCCTCTGGGTTCCCCGTCCCAGAAATCAAGTGGACCAAAGTAAGTCTCGGAAGGGAGTGACACCCCCCCTTCTCTCTCTCCCCAGGCGGGGTGCAGGGAGCAGGAGGCGCTGCGAGGGTGCGGGGGGTGCTGGGAAATGTGCTGCAGAGCTGCCCCTTTGTCTGTGGGGTAGAAGGGCCTGGGTGGGGAGGCAGGCCTGCTAGGGACTTCTGTGGCTCACTGTGTCATATTGAGACCAGATGCTCCCACACTGCCACATTTTGAGCCTGGGAAAATGGGAGAGGAGGAATTTCTTGGAGTGTATGTAGTTAAGACATAACAACATTCTTTTTCTAAGTCAAGGTCATGTTGTGTCTGCACCTGGGTGAGAGGACGTCTCAAATTGGGATGGATGGTGGGGCGTGTGATGCGACGATGAGTGCAGGGGGTGGATTTGTAGTTTTTACTTATTGCAAGGAAGCCTGGAACTTCCAGATTTGGGACTCCCCAGTTATGCCAGTTTACTACCCAATTAAAACAGAACTTTTGAGAAGTTGTCTGTCTTGGAGTTACTGGTTGAAACGAAGGTTGACATACTGTCTTGCAGCTGGAAGGGGAGCTGCCCCGACATGCCCAACTGGACGGCCACAGCCTGACCATCCCCTCGGCCCGCCAGGAAGACACGGGCGTCTACGTGTGCACGGCGTCCAACCGGCAGGGGAAAGGGACGGCCTTCTCCATGCTCAAAGTCCGAGGTCGGTGTAGCTCCCACCTCTCTCTCCTACTTCGGCCCACAGGAGATGGAGGAGGGGGCCAAGGGTGGGCCCTGACTCCCACAGCCCCCCATGGGCGGGAGAGGCTGCCAGCGTCCTCTAGAACAGTGATGGCGAAACTTTTTGGCACCAAGTGCCCAAACTGAAACCCTGGCTACGCGCGCATGCCTGTTTTGGGGCTGGTTTTGGCTCTTTTCTAGCCGTTTTTTGGGGTTTGGGGTGCTTTGGGGGTTGTTTGGGGGGGGCGTTTTTTGGTTGTTTGGGGGGGGTTTGGGGGGTTTGGGGAGCATTTTGGGGGTTGTTTTTGGTTTGGGGGGCATTTTTGGTGTGTTTTGGGGTTGTTTGGGAGGGCATTTTGGGGGTTCTTTTCAGGCTGTTTTGGGGTAAAACGGCCTGAATAAAAACCCAAACAATGGCCTGTTTGGGGGGCATTTTTGGGGCCGTTTCAGGCCATTTTGGGGGCTGTTCCATGGTGTTCCAATGCCTGCAAAGACCAGCTGGCCTGCATGTGTGCCCACCGAGAGGGGTCTGCGTGCCACCTCTGCCACGCCTGTCACAAGTTCACCATCACGCTCTAGAATAAACCTTGGACATTCCCCCTCTCTCTTCCTCCTCCTCCTCCCTCGCCCTTTCCCTCGTGGGCATGAGAGGAGCCCGGGAAGAGGAGAACCTGGGCAGAGACGCATTCATGTGCCAGTGCCTCTGCCAGTTTGGCCCAGGCCAGACACCCTTGTCCATCTGCAGAAGAGGCGGAGGGCTCGGCCGTCCCCCTAACCCGTCGCCCTCCCCCTTGCAGAGCGGGTGGTGCCCTACTTTACCCAGAATCCTCAGTCCTACCTGGTCCTGCCAACCATGAAGGATGCTTACCGGGCATTTGCCCTGGAGATCACCTTCCGTCCCGACACCCCGGATGGTAAGAGAGGCTGCTGGGCAGGCGGGCAAGGGTTAGCTCCTCCTCCTCCTCCTCCTCCTCTTGTTGCGGATGCGAATTCTGGGCGACTCTCTTCGGAGCCTCTCTCACTCAACCTCTCTTCATCTGCCTCTCCTCCTCCTCCTCCTCCTCTCACCTCTTCCCCTCTTTCCCTCCTTCTGCCCCCCCTCCCTTCCAGCTCTCATGCTTTACTCAGGTGAGTTGTGCCTCTGCCGGGCACTGCGGACTTCTCCTCCAGCACCTGGCACCTTTCTAACCTTTTCTGCCTCTGGATTGTGTGTGGGGGGGTGTGTATTTGGGAGGGGCTGGGGCGGTGCTGAGGAGTGTGCCTCCTAAAGCACATGAGCTGTTGGCAAGCTGACTAACATACCAGCAGCTCCCAAGCATCCTCCTCCAGCTGCAGTCTACCTTATTCCTATTAGCTGGGCTGCACTGTTTGGATCTAATCTTCCTTTGCTAACTCTGCTTCCCAGAAAGCAAGGGTATATTTGTGTGTGTGTGTGTGTGTGTGTGTGTCTGTGTGTGTGCGCTCTTGTCCCGCGCTGCCCCTCTGCCTGGCTGTGGGGGTGTGTGTGTGAGGGGGTCTCCGCTTTGAATTCGAAGACTCCTGTCCCACTCAGCACCACTTGGGCTCCCAGGACAGGAGGCAGAGCACCGCGGATCCGAGCTCAGCACTCTGCAAGCTGCTGCCAAGGGACCTGGGGGGTGGGGGGGGGGGGGTTGGGGGGGGGGCGTCCCCCCCCCCCCCCCCGCCCCCCGGTGCCCCCCCCCCCTCTGCTCTCCACAGGGATGCTGGTGTATAATGGGCAGAAGAAGAACACAGGCAGCGACTTCGTCTCCTTTGGGCTGGTGGGGGGCCGCCCAGAACTCAGGTGAGGCCGGGGTGGGGATTGAGCTGCCCAGTTGGTACCTCTGGCTCAGAGCCTGCCGGGTTGCCTCCTTTCCGTAGCTTCCCTTTGGCGGT